AGGAAAAAAAAAAGAAAAAAAGCAAAAGAAAGAAACTTCTGGGGCTGATAGCTTATCGTGAGGAAATCCAAATGTCACATTAGTTGAGAAAGTTGGAAGATTAAATTTTCCAACACCCTTCATCTGCTGCTGCTGCTGACATTTAGGGGCTTTTTTCCGCCCCTCCTCCCTCTTCTTGCTGCATCTACTGAGCGGGCTGAGCATAAGTGGGGTGAGCAGAGAGAAGGGTGAGCAGAGAGAAGGGTGAGCAGTGAGAAGGGTGAGCAGTGAGAAGGGTGAGCCCTGAGTGCAGCCCCTGCCTCCCCGGCATCACAGGGAGCTGAGGGCACAGAGCCTCCCACCATCAACCCCTCGCTCTCAGCCCTCCCAGGACCTCGGGTGGGTGGGTGGATGGGTGCTGGAGAGCTGATCTTGGGGCCAGGACACCTTCACAAAGCTGTGCTGTTTTTCACCTGAGTAMGGTACATGCCAGGCTCAGCTTTGACAATCACCATCCCCTGCCATGAACACAACACAAAAGATGGAAAATTACTTTATTTCTGTGTTGTTCTGCCTGTGATACCCAACTGAGACCRTCTGCTGACTTCAACACTTCTCTCCACATAAACCCCATGGCCCTTGCTAGGGGGGAAAGGTGAAAACTTTGCTTCTGCAAACATTCTGAGAGCTTTGGRGACCCCTGGGAAAATTTTCTGATGTTCCCATTTGTTAAAACCACTTGGAAATCCAAAGTCTGTTTAGGGAGATAGTGGAGCTGAGGTGCAGGCAAAATGAATAGGAAGCTCATTTCCTTGTCACTGTAGTTAAAGCTGGTGTAAAGGCTTGTGAAAAAGCCCCAGTTACRGGGAGCAGCCTTTGTCCATCAGCAACAACTCTGGCTCAGCTACATCCCGCTCCATTTAAATAGAAAAATTGAAGCTAAATAAAGAAAGGATGGAAAGAGCACTATTACGTTCCATTCAGACCTACTGGTATCATCTCCCTCCTTTTTTACTTMAGCAGCATCTTCTTTTTCTGCCCATTATTTTTGTTGGAATTAGATTTGCTGGGGTTTCACTGGCAAGGGGGGGATAACACAGGAAGGACAGTGTCCTCCCTGCCAAACCCACATACCTCAACAATAGGACACCCCCAATTTTGCAATTTTGATTGGTATCTCCCCAGAGCAGGACTAAAGCTGATGTGGCCGGTGATGGATTTGCAGTGCTGTTCCTCCTTGACAATGTCAGCTCCTTTGGGGAAGGAGCAGGGATCAGGGAGCTGTGTCCTGCAGTCCCCAGGGACACTGTGCCATGCCACAGTGCACAGCTTCTCCCCAGTGCCCCATGTGCTGTGAGGGCTCCATGGGCACAGCTYTTGTTTCCTAATCCTGCCTAACGTGGCCACTGGGGTGTGCCACCCAGGGGAACAGTGGGCATGGGCACATCCAGCTTCTGTCCCTGCCCTGCAGCAGTGATGGCAAAACCCCAGACCAGCCCAAAGAAAGCATTAGTCCTGCTCCTCACCCTCTGGGCTGGGAGTGACCCTCCTCCCCAGGCAGTCTCCTCCTGTCTCAACCGCCAGCCAGTTTTTCCTTCACTTCTATCCAAAATCCGCTTTAATGTATTTTAARCCCATTAGCTCCATCCTCTCCAGAGCAGCCATGGCAGAATCCTCTCCTCCCTCCTTTGGTAGCTCCCCTCAGGCTGGGGAGGGACAGGAGACATCTTCTGCATCCTCTGCTCAGAGTGAGTGGGACTGTGGGCAGGGAGAGCTCAGGAGAGGAAGCACCCTCCATTTCAATCACAGCATCAGCCTGACCCCTCTGTCCCACCTCCCAGACTCTCCATGGCTGRCTTCCTCTGCCAAGGAGCCCTCTTACTGTCACCTCCTGGGGACAATGGCAGTTAGTCAGCAACTGGAGTGAACTCCAGCCTGTCCCCGGCTCTGCTCTGGGGCATGGACTCCCAGGTGTGCTGAGAGGAGGGCCAGATGCCAGTGCAGGGCATGTCACCCRAGCTGCTGGGACCCCATCAAGCCCAGATCCTCCCCTCCCTTGCACAGGACCTTCTGAATGCTCTTGGGATCACCTGAGTGTTATTTTTGGATGAAGCMATGTGGTTTTGGTCAACACCATGTGCTGCCGCTCCTCCTCTCCCGCTGTGTTACCATCCCTTGATGGCACATCTGCTGCCAGGTCTGCCTTGGGACAAGGACCAGTTCTGGTGCMTCACCACTGGCTGAGGCTGTCCCCAAGGCTCCACCCTCCTGGACAGCCCCACACCAAGAGCATCACTGGCCTGATGAGCCCCTATTTCACAGGGGGACAGAGTAGGAGCTGCCAGGGTGACCTGGCAGCAAAGTGGGGTGCCCCAGGGCAAAGTGGGGTGCTGCAGAGCAGCAACCATGRCTGGTAGAGTTCCCTGTGCCCGTGGCACAGCACCTGAATGAAGTCACCATCACTGTCACCAAACGCCAGCTCTCTTGGGAGCGCTGGGAGAGCGGAGCTGAYGGGCCTGTAGTTAAAGCACTGATTGCCAGAAATCACAGGATGGCTATGCTCAGAGTAGGGCAGAGAATTAGATTCAGTCTCTAATTAAAGGTTTGCTCTTCATTTGAATTTCAGATGCCAGCTTTAATTTTAGAAACTTTTGCAGGCAGCAGAGCGACCTGCCCACCTGCCTGCTGCCATGCCCGGTGCTCGTGGACAGATGTCACCACTGCTCAGCTGGGGGGACACGGCTGCACACCGGGCACTTGCTGCCCACTGCAGAATCTGGTTATGCCWGCTGTGACAAATGCTGTGCCATGACCCCTGGTGCAGTGCTGGGACAGACTGGCAAGGGGTTCAGCACTGGGCCAGAGTGGYGACTGTGCCAAGAATGTGACAGAGATGGTACTCACAGCACTCATATATTCAGTGTCAGCCTTGGAGTCGTAGTACTCAATGTCTTCCTCCTGCAGGGAAAAGGGAGAGCTGTTAGTRCTGGTCAAGGACAGGGATGGGAGAGGAGTCCCTCCCCCAGCTCATCCCCTCAGCACCTCTCTCATGCTGCTGGCAGCCACCACACTGCTGGGGACTGAAYCCTTCCCACCCCATGCTGTCCCTGGGACATGTTCAGGACCTCACATCCTCCACATCCACCCTCCGAGCAGTGGCCATTGCCTGCTGCATTTCCCTCCACTCATGACTGCTGCTGAGCCACAGCACTGCAGGGCCAGCAGCCCTGTGATGGTGACACGGGTGGCTGTGCCATGTCACCACAGCCAGGGTGCTTTGGTTCTGTTGCAAACATCAGGAGCCACACGAGAACCAGGTACAGGCAGCGTGACAGGGAGCGGCTGTGCAGCCACCCAGGCCCCCTCCCTGCACGGAAAAAACAGGGAGAAAAGTGTCCTTGSTTCCACAGAGAAATGCACGTCGTTAATTTGGGGTATTTAGAGCCTATTTAAGCAGAAAGGTCTGCTTAGATTCCTCTTSCCAGAGTGTCAGGACGCGAGACAGCTGATAAACCTCCTGAAGAGGCAATTGGGAGAGCAGCGATGCTGTCACAACAGCGTTCCGTTTACCATCAGAAAGGGTAATTAAAGGGCACTGGAGCCTCTTCTCGGCGTGCCGGGACCGAGCGCGATGCGGGCACAGCGGCGGCTGTCGTGGGGCTGACACATCTGCYGGTCCCTCACCAGCAGCAGCCACCACTTCCCGGCCCGGGCAGCGCCTGCGGGGGATATTGCTGTTATTGTCTAACGAGGAAACAGATCGCACCCAGAGCACCAACAGCCAAAGCAGGCACTGAYTGCATCCCTGTCYTGCTCTGCTCCTGCTCTGCACCCAGCCCGGACACAGCCTTGTGCCAGGGCTGATGGCACAGTGACACCGCCTTGTGCCAGGGCTGGTGGCACAGTGACAGTGATCCATCCCGGCTTTGTCATGGGATTGTGCTGCAGAACGGGACCAGCAGGGCCGAGCAGCCCTCCAGGAACTCATTCCAACACCCTGCCCAGCCCCGAGTGCTGCAGTCACTAACCCCTCACCGGCATTGCCCTCCAGCCACAAACCTTCTCCCGCAGTGGTTTGCAGGGGCTGCTCCCAGAGGTGGAAAAGCCCCTGAAGCTGATCTTGGGGACACCGGCAGCAGGGGATCCTGGCAGGCTGCCGATGTCCCCCGGGATGGGGATTCCAAAGGGCAATTCCAGCATCCTCCTGACAGAGGGGCCGTCGCTTCCGCGGGCTACACCGCTCTTAATGATTGAGATAAGACAGCACCGGGAGGGGAAAGTGAAAAAAAAATTGACGCAGCATATTCCAATTTCTTCTATTAAAAAGCCCAGTCATTAAGGGAACACACTTATTAATTATCTGTGATTTGTTGTGAAATGCTGAGGGGTTTACAACAACAAGAAAGGGAAAAAAAAAAATTAATTTCACTTCAGCCGCCCTCTCCCGGCCCCACGCACGGCCCTGCCCCTCTCCGGCACYGCCGTCTCCCCGGGTCCGCGGCCATCTGCACTTCCTAATTAAAGGAACCCCCGGGAGACCCGTAACACAAACGAGCTAATTTCATGTTTAATGATCTTTAATCAGGAGYGAGTGTGACTAACAACGGCCATCCAGAAGGTGCTTTGTTATTGGTTTTATTTTCCATTGGCTCCTCCGCAATGCTCGATTCCCCTCCCAACCCGCAGTGCAGAGGGCACGAGGTGATGCTGGGGCAGGAGAGCCGCTTCCCCGATCCTGCTTTCATCCACAGGGTGCACACTTCTTCGATGGATTTCTCTCCTCCCGATTGCCCTGGGGATCACAGAGCCCTTGCCATATGCTCTTTCAAGCCCGGACAACCCCAGAGCAGCTGGGTGAGATCTCAGCCCGCTCCACATGCGAGACAGCACGGGTGGGACAGCCAGCACCAGCGTGGCCCTGGCCCTGACATGTGCCCTGATGCCAGGTGCTGCAATCCTGCACAACCCTGCTGGTGCTGGGGGCTTTTCAAGGGGTCCAAGAGAGCCTGTGGATGCTGGCAGGGCATTTGTGTCCTTGCCACTTGGAAGCCAGTGGCTGTTCCAGAAAGGAGGGATAGAGCCCTCAGAGATGCTCGAAAAACATGCCATGGGTCTCCCAAGGGGCAGCAAGGGGTTCTGCAATTTTTTCTCCCTAATATGTTTTCTTTTAACCACATTTGCCTTCGTCACCTAATCCCCTCCTCTTCCTCCTCTGGTCCATGTTAAACTTGGCACCAGGTCTGTGTAAATAGCACTGATATTTCTAGAGCCRTTCAGAATAAATACCAATAAAGAAAACAAGGGGGTGAAGATGYCAAGGGATTTCAAGGCAAAATATTGTCCCCATCTCTTGCAAACGAGCCTGCAGGAAGCACACACAGGTTCCCATTGCAGGGGAGGCAAACAAGGAGTGGCTGCTGCTCCATGATGTGTTAACCATGGCCCATTTTCTTGTACTTGAATTGGCAAATGTCCCCTGCACAATGGCGCTGCACGGCCGTGTCACTGATGGGTAAGTGCAGGGTTATTTCAGCTCCTAAAACCTCAGTGCAAGACTCTGGGAGTTCAGTGCAATCCCAGACTGATCTGCAACTGTCTCTAAAGCCATCRCCCAGGCTTCTCCAGCAAAGCCACCAAGGATCCACTGCACCTGCACCAAACCCTTGTAGTTCAGTGTCACTGGGCAGCCCCAGCCAAGGCTTGACCCACGTGGGRMCTCCTGGATGTGGCTCTGRGGATGCTGCATGCCWCAGTCTCCCCAGGGACCCTGGCTCYKSCYKRMCCCCTTGAGCCCCACCTAGGAGCCCTGTGCTGCACACCTTCACCGATTTCACACCAAAACACCAAGAAAAAAGCTGATTGACAAAACCAGGCTGTGAGCTCGTAGAGAGCTGCGAGCTGGAGCCCCTCCAGCGGCACAAGGGCAGACTCTGCTCCAGCACCACTGCTCTCTTGCCACACACCAGCAGAACAGGTTTGAGACAAAGCCCAGCACAAAGAGGGGCATGGGGRGATCTCAGGTGGGTGGTGAGGGGCACTCCTACCCCACAACCCCTGACACAACTGTCTACAAGCATTCAAATAGGTATTTTTTGCCTAAAACAATTACAGCAACTAAAAATAGTGCTGAAAAGATCAGTGCCCTGTAATCTTGCTGCAGCCTGGAGATGTCTGGATGGAGGGGTGCTGGCCCAAAACTCCAAGTCARTGACCTAAYRAGATGGCAATCAAACATGTCACACSTGCTGCTGCCACCACCCTACAAAAGCCTTGAAGAAGCTGTTGGTGGCACATCAGCTCCCTGCTCCAGCCATGGAGCACACAGCTGGTGGGGACACTGCAGAAGRCTATGACTCGCTTTCCCCTATAGAGCTTTCCTGTAAAATCACCTAATCTGGCCAATCCTTCTCCCAAGGACCTGCAGGATCTGTTGTACTCCATAGGATTGCTCACTGTCAGAAGGGTCACCCTGCTGACCACATGCCCTGGGGATGCTGCAGCTCCTCGGGGCAGTTTTGCAGGCAGATCCTGCTGCAGCGCATTGATTTCGGTCTCTCTCAGTCTCCGGCTGGGGGCTTCATTTCTCTGAGCGGCACAGGTGACCCCTCTGGTCAGCAAATCCCTTTCAAGATTTAATTGGCTCTGGAAGAGCCAAATCCTGCAGCAGTTTGCCTTCAGGCAGTTAGGAGGGTGGTGGGGAAGAAAAGATGGATCCTGAGTGAACCCCTGCCTGTTTTCCAGCTGCTGGATGGGGCTGGTGGCAGGACCAACATCCCAGCCCTCAGCATACCCATGTGGGGACAAGCCAGGTGAACAGAGCTGTGCCTGCTCAGAGCTGTGGGTAATTCAGTGCGTGGGGAGAGCAAGCAGGAGCTGATGTGCCTACACAGCACCAGGGGCTCTGCTCATGAGCCCACCTTTCCTCTACCATCAGCACTTAGAGAGGACAGTATTTAGATACTTCTTCACGTCCCTGAACCATTAAGCACATAGAAAGAGCAACAGCTTTTGCTTATAGTTGCACCTTCCCCCCAGAAGACATCCTGCAGCGTGTCACGRAGCTCCTGCAGCCTCACACCTGCGCTGTGCCCGGGGAGAGCTGGGGATGGACRGGGACACAGCCCATCCCCAGCACAGCATCGACTGCCAAGCCCTCCTGCACCATAAGGAGTGGGATGGGACTGCCTGATGGCTGCTCCTGGAGACCAGTTGGTGCTGGCAGCTGGGGTCACAGCCAGGTGACTGCTCAGTCTGAGGTGTCCCAGCCCTGCCATAGGCACAGCAGCCTCTGGGCTGGGGAACAACATGGCAAAGAAAGAGTTCCTGCTACACCTGACACGGGGTGGTGTGAGTGCCACAGCAGGAACGGGCTCCCAAAGGGACAGGATGAATTCCTGGGAGCAATTGCTACCTRCAATCACAGGCATTTCTGGCTGGTCGGGGCTGAACCTTTATTTCCACTGGCTAGAGATATTTTTGTCCATATGGACCATGATGAATCCTTTCCCAGTCCCCAGAAGAGGAAAATATTCATGGCTAGCCCCAGTTACCACAGGCTGTTGGATAGACAACGAGGGGTCTGGTGGGGACCATACTTCTCCTGCAGCCCTGTGAATTCCCTGCATCCCATCCACCATCAGGGGCCGTATGCATTACCCAGGACAGGTGGAAACAGTCATCATAATCTGCCTTGGCATCTTTTTTTTTAAAAGCAATTTCCTCCCTCTGCCTCTCTGACAGAGCTGGGGAAATATTTAAGTGACCTGTCAACAGTTTTTTCATCTCCCCGAGAAGATGTTTTATCTGATCACACCTCGCCAGCTATTCTTCTTTACATGGCATCTCCTGTCTGCTCCTGCCCCTCTGAGGCTGCCTCGAACGAGGTGTGGCTGCTTCTCCCCTCACTGCACCCAGGGCTGCAGGAATGCCAGCACACACAGAGGCTGCTGGAGACCCCC